CCGAAGTATATTAAATGCTTTAGTCTCGTGTTAATATTATTCCAGGCTCGCGTAGCTGTAATGGTGTAATTGAATTTACATGAATGAAGTGTGTTGTGACGTGGTTACACAAAGGGGCTGATTCCAAGTCCCCCTTTTGATTAGTTTCAGGAAGATTTGAAGTTACTTCTGAAGGGGTTGTTTGCTGAGACCACGTTAAAACTTTTAAGAAGAAGAGAGCAGTGGAGTAATACCGCCTTTTGTCTGAGATAAGCATACGATTCTGTCAAAAAAAGTCGAACATGGTTCGTATTTTCGTGATCAAAATAAAACGTACGATCGCGTTTGGGGCTATTGAGTTACTTGTTAAATTGGATGCCATGTATGTTCAGAGAAAGTCGTAATAGATCGAATGTGGCATGAATAAGTGATTTGATTGAGGTCTCAGTGTGCTACTGGTAAAGTGTCGCAGGCGTTGTCAGTGAGTGCATTGAAGCAAAACATTACCAGAGGTTGAATCTACTTGCGGAGTTCAGCTGAGATGTTGTCGATAACTACACCTAGTTCTTGACTTCCAGAACACAAGTAAATGGTGTCATTTATATAATATTAGGCAAGGAGAAGATGGATTTTATTACATAGTGAATTTCCGAGCTGATGCCATGCACTGTGATTGTTTTGTGGGTTAATTGTAAGCCTAAAGACGCTGCCCAGTTGTTTACCGATTTCAAATCTTCATTGTATTTTTGTAGCGAGTGAAAACGAAGTGAGACGGGTGACCAATTAGATTTCTGGAGTTCATCCGCATATAACTTGATTGACTGCAATATTAAGTGAGTTTCCCACAGTCATTTACTAGATTAAGAGAGGCCAGTGGGCCCTACACATTGCCTTGAGCAACTCCGCGGTTAAGCTTCAAATTCCTTGATACGGCTATCGGATCCATCTTTGCAAGTTAAAATAATAAGGAACCATTTTACACCTGGGCTGTGCAAATCCCATGTTTAGCTTTGGCGAGCAGGATGTGTGATCTATCTGGAATCGAATTGCTTTGCTTCAAATCCAGAGACTAATAGTTATATTACTGCCTCCAATCTATTTGCGGTTTTCGCGTCTTCAATGCGTTTATAGCGCGGTTCCTGTATTTCTGCGGACGGAAAACACGATTGCTGATCATTTAAAAGTGATTTTTGTTCGAAGAATACCTGTCAGTTTTGCTTCGCGGACGACTTTCTCGAGTACTTTAGAGATAGTTGGCGAAGGAATGCTAATTCGGCGGTAGTTCAATAGGGTTTTTGGTTGATGCTGTTCTTGGGAATAGGATGCACGAGCGCAAGTCTTCCAGGATAAGGAATATTGCCATCTATTAGTGAGAATTTACGATTTCGCGTGATAATTGGGTACGTCACAGTCTAAGCTATTTTTTAGCAGCTGCTTTATACCATCGGAACCTCGGAGGAACCCACAAATTTGTGATTGAGACTATATATTATAGGTCATGTAACAAAGTTTCGAAAACACGGAATTTCAGTTTTGGGGTTTCAAACACGACCTATTTACCTGTTTACAACTGAAGGCCTAAATACTCACGTACATAATCAATTACGCGATGTTTTCAAAATTTGATAAGCAAGCATTTATTATGATGATGTTGCCCTCCATGGCGCCTTGACCACGAGAAGAATTACTGGATGATAAAGTAAATATTTTCACTAACTTAACTTATAAACAGGTCTACGACCGACAGGCGCTTCAAATAATTCCGCCGTGTAACTCGTCCTCCTGCACCATGGTTACTGCTAAAATTCGAAATTTTAATAAGATCGTGATGCAGGTATGCAGTTTTCCGGAAAACTAAAGTGCGAACTACTTAAAAACAGTACAAAATGCTCGGATTTAGTTACGCAGAAATGGCAACGCTAAATAAAATATTTACCACACACCTTCTGCAGAAACAGCGATGAGAACGATCTGGAAAAATTTGAAAAATTATGGAATGAAGCAAAGATCTCCCATTGAAGCGAAGATACCCTTAGAATCACTAAATCACAGTTTCATTAAACAGCGTTCTTCATTTGACAGTAACTTTGAAAAAGCAATCTCTTTTTGTTTTCTCCAAAACGCAGAAATAAATCCAACGATAAATTTTTCCTTTTGTCCGTTGACATCAGGACTTAAGTCGTTTAGGTGAGTTTCATCCCAAGAGTTCTCAGCATGCAAGTATTAGGTATAAAATCAGACAGTAAGAAAAACGTGGAAGTCTTTGCATTTTGTAATGCGAATACTAAAGAAAAGTTCTGCAAACGACTAAGAATTAGCATATCTTACGCTGGTTCACCCTCTCATGGAATACGGAGTTGCGTGTTAGGATCCATACAGAAAAGCTCACCGGAAAAATCGAGATAGAATACAGAAAAAGGCCAATAAGTTTACCTATATAAGTAACGCAACAAAAAAGTCAAGAGGACCTCTAGAAACGAGAAGAACAAGCTTGGAAGGAAATTCAGATTAGACTAGAAAAAACAAATTATTTCGGCCGAAGCGATCACACCCACAAAATTCGAACAAGGAAACAAAATTCAGATCTTGGGAAATTTTCCTTTTGTAACAGAACAATTAGAGATTGGAACAGTTTACCTGCAGCAGTTTTCAAAGCTTTTCCTCTCAGTGTCCGAAGTTTTAGAAACAAGTTAGAACACGATGACAGTAACAGATATTAAATGAGTAAGTGCTGTGTAGTGCGGTGAAGTGCTGGTCAGTGTAATTCAAAGCAAAAAAGTATAGTGTAGTGTAGTGCGGTGAACGTGATCAATGCACTTTTCAATGCTGCTTTTCGTCTTGTACGGTACTATTACTATTAATGTAAGTGTTGTAATTTTTGGAATTATTGTCACTTAACAGCCACCGGGTCATATCCAATTGCAGTTCTAATAAATGTATGTATCCCTTAATTTTTGTTTTCCAACACTGACTTAACTTTATACATATATACGGGCATATGGTGTCAGGGGATATTAAAGCACATTACTCCGCAAGGGCTGATGTTTGCTGTTAGATTGTGCCGGCATAGGTATTGTGTTTGTGCATAACGTTATTGAATCTATTGTTATTATTATTATTATAATATTATCGTAATTGTTGCCATTATTAATTTTTGTATTGAGGTGAAATGTAAGTGTAAGAGTTGCTAAAATTTCTTTAATAGGTAACAGGAATTGAATAACTGAAGAATACATGTACGCCATAAAAGTTTTATTATAAAACAATACACTATTATTACAGAATATATTTATGCTTGTTATGAAAATCAATCATGTTAATTGAATTGTTTATTTCAGAAACCCTTCAAACGAGAAAATCTAATACACGCATTAGCAGAGGATTATTGTTCCAAGAGGATAGACACATTGTTTAGTGCATATTTATATGAAAAATATTCATTCACAGACTGCATTAATTAATTAAATTATTTTGAAATCAGATCAATTGGGAGTCTTTTTCTCATTTTTCTCGGAATGAGGAATTAGGGGTTTGACGGATTTCTGAAATAAACGATTCAATTGATGTAGATTCTAATACATAACTGAGGTACAAGGAAGCTCTAATACATCTACAATAAACAGATAAAAGAAGGCACCAACAGTGCTTGAAAATACAAATACACTTCACATTATATAGATCTTTAATGAACACATAGTGGAGATCTAAAAATATTTTGTTGCATCATCAGCTCAGAGGGCAGCATTTTCTTAAATGTAGAGGAAAATACATTTGCATATTAAGCTTCAACTAAACATATTTTGGAATTCCATGCCTAGATCATCATCATTGAAGTTATAAACTAACTGAAGGCTTTTTGGCAGACGAAATAGCACCATTTAAAATCATGTCATAACACGGTTTCATGCAAATCCTGTGTTACTTCAATATAGTGTGGAAGTCACAGTCTGGACCAATTACACACATAACATCAGAGTACTCAGCTTGCCTTGAAACTCCACAGTCAAGACAGAGATCAAAATTGTTTAGATGAAAGGCTACCTCTGGAATTTACTTTTAAGTTCTGATATGAGTTTTAAAATGAAAGAAAAAAATACATGTAATAAATTTACAAACTTTTGTTATCTTTTAAAACAAATTATTCATGAATAAAGCTGTAACAAAATGTTTCACACTAAATTTACCCTCCCTATAAGAATTAGCTGCATTCTTGGATGTACATGGGATCCAAAGAAATTACAATGGACATAATGTAACTTCCTTATCTGAACAGCACCATATATATTCATATACGTACATTTCTTTGTGTTGGTAAATTATCCACAAGGGCACTTGCATTACAGTTTAGCCACTATATTATATTAGCCAGATATAATATATATCTGTCAGAGAAGTTCTAAATTGGCAGAAACACACTTACAGTTGCCACTAACATCCTGAGATCTTATAGTGGTAAATAAGTACATATTAAAAACATACTTTGAGATCACCCATTAACATGGCACGCAACGCTTACCTCCTACAAAAAAATTTTCTCAAAATGGTAAAGAGGATATAAATGGGTGTATGGTAGATTTACCAGCAGAATATTAATTCCATCATTTTTATTGCTAGCTTTTACACAAACTAAAAAAACAACAACAAAAAACCCTTCAAATATTCATAACAAATGTTAAATATTTTTACACAAAAAACTAACAACATCAAACCACACTGAAAGAGATCATTTGAAGTTTAGGTTTACAATAAAAGTATAAAATGACAGTACTCAAGTTAAACGTAATTGACATTTTGAAAGATCTTTGCAATTCAAAAATATGTCCTCCAGCTTAGACAAATACATTTTAAGGTTTACTAGTTTATTGCTGTGTGCTTAGGACCTGAAACAAAACAGGAAAAGGTATACCCTTGGGAGCCTTTTGGATTCTCTATGCCTGCATGAGCCTTTTTAATACTTTATGCCTGCTTCACTACTAACAACAAATAACACATTCTTTTATAAAACAGATGAATAAATTGTATAATGATCGAGTAAGATTAAGTAAGAAAAATTACTTAAGTAAGTTATAAATATTATTTAGTCAAAATGATATGAATATTGCAATTTTGGAACGTTCCCATGAATTCCCAATAGTCACTTTTATTTCACTGTAACATATCATATGTTTCAGAGACACACATGCTTCAAAAGTAATAGATACCTAGTACCAGTAGTAATAGATGTAGAAAAAACATACCTTAACATCCCTGAAATGTTTTTTTGATGCAAAGAAATTTTCTAAATAATGAAAAATATCGCTGGTGAGGATGACACTTTCTAATAATTTAGGAAGGTGTTATCAGGTATCAGGACAGTTTCATCAACGCAATTCACACTTATTTTCTACATCATTCTCATATACACCTTAGTGATTTTCATATATTTCTCAATAAATTACTGGAAAGAGTTGCCCAGACTTTTGCTGGCTTTTTTGAGCATTTTATTTATTTATTTCACAATAGTCTTTCATTTTGTACAAACAAATCAAACTATGATTATGCAAGTAGTAATTAGCCTTGATAGCAAGGAAAATTTTAAAAAGTTCCAGATTCTGGTTTGAGTTAGCAATGAACCACTAAATCAAAGTTTTTGTATACACCACAGTTGCACTGTTTTTTGGCCTCTAGGGCTACTACCAAATCTAAAGGGTCTCTGGCCTAAGGTTTGGAAGTCTCCCGAAGAGCAAAAACATCTACTTAATGCCCTACATACACAAATAAACTATTAGAAAGTTAGTTTTAGCATTAGGAAGCAATTCCTAACAGCAGGGTGAATTTCTACAAATAAGGTTACACAAACAGCTCATGAAAAATCTGATTACATGGAGATAGAGAAAGTGAGCGAGAGTAAAAATCGTTTATACTAATAAGAGGTAATTAATGTTTTAAATTCAAAAATGTTATAATTGAATAAATTGAAATATGTTTGAAGTAGACCAGCGTTCTGTGGAATACTAAAGCCTGTAATGATTTTGTGATGCATAAGTAGCCCTACAAAGTAATTTGTTTCTATGTTCTGTGTCTTGGTCTGTTACGTTTTTGTGATTTTCAGCTACAAATTACCGTAATTCAAACTTGGGAAGTACAATTAGTAGTATTCGAACTTGGAAAGTACTATAAATTGTAGTTTTGGATTTATTCATGTTACACATTAGTCCTGAAATTAAGGCCAATACTATAAACTAATTATTTATTTGTGGTTCAAATTGTCAAAATGTGTTACAAGGCTTTTCGGTTAATGTACAGACACTGACTTACGTGAATACATAGTGTAAAGACAATACAAAATTCTGAACTACACAAATCCTTATTTGTGTGTTTATAGGTTACTTCAATAATGCCATTCAAGTGTTGTGTTCTAAATTGTAATGGAAACTCCCCAGGTTGGCCTTTCTGTTAGAGTATTGGACTCCGGGTTAGGCTTTCTGTTAGTGTAATAAGTTTTTCCACAAAGATCGAAGTGTAAGGATAAGGGAGGAAACGATTACTTTCAAATATAATTCAAAGGTAGGTATTTAAAAAAAAAAAAACTTTAAACTCATAAGTGTTTTATTAATTTGCACGATTAATGCTTATTAAATATTGACTTTTAAATTGTTGTAGGTCTGAGAGTTGTACTTCCACCAATTGGACATTGAGAGATAGAGGTGAAACACTGAAAAGCTTTTGAAAGATCCACTAGTGTATCCTTGACTTGATAGGGGTATGTTAATTCTTGACTTAAATGAAATTAATTGCAACTAAATTAGAATATGCGGTTGGTTACGTATTTGTTTGGAAATTCTTTGTTCACGTGTCGTACCATTTCAAGTAATGGACAGTGCAGATTATTTATCAAGGCCTGAAACTCCTGTTCGAGACATTTTCAGCTGACAAGAAAAGAATAACGGAGATGAAGAACCTTGAAAGGGTAAGATCTGCTAATCTGGAGGTATATGCCAAGTATAATTCATACCGTATTTTTAACAATTTAGATGAACTGATGTCTGCATCCAAATTTAAATTACAGTAGACAGTGTTAATTAAAAGCTCCTCAATATGTTTTGTACAGATAAAAGAAGAACCACAGTCCCAAATAATATGCTCCATTAAGGTTGATGAGAAATTATGTTTTTATCCATTATAGAATGGATGTGGACAGTATTCATGAATCGTCAAAATAGGCAATGAAAGGAAATGCATTGGAATGTACATTTAATATCCCAAACACACACACTAAATGTAGACAATATTTAAAAATAAAAATTTAGAAATCAATAAAAATAATTAGAAATTACAAAATGAAACTGATTAAATATCAGAAATTAAATCATTAACAGTCTGATATTAATAAAATCCAATACACAGAGTAGAAAAATTAGTTATTTGCTATGTAATAAATGAAATAAAAACAATTAAAGTATGTTGTAATAGTTGTGGCACCTACATATAAATTATTTGAAATTTTAGTTACTGATTTCAGCAGGACAAACACAATGTATAAATTGTGTAATGTTTCATCTGCAATTGCATCTTCACAGCATTTGTTGCATTTTGAATTTTTTACTGTGATAATGCATATAACTTATTTTGGAACTAAGGTGGTCTGAAATTGGACAGATGAAAAGTTTGCAGCGTACATAAGTTTTTGTGTTTGACTTGCTTAAAACGATAATAGAAACTTCAAATATGATCTACTTGGCTGTCCAGAAGGTGCGTCCTAGGTCTGTGCCTAGGATTTTCGCCCTGAGGAAAGTCACAGCATATGGCTCAAATGCTGGCGTCTGTGCCTAGGCCCTATCCCGAACAACCAAGTACATGCCAACTTCAGCCGCAGAGGCCTCCACTTGCAACTTCAAATACTCTTCAAAAACACCAACAATTAAAATATAATACAATGCGTACATATGCAAACTTGAGGAAAAAGTTTCTTTTAGCATGATCAGATATTTCACCAGTCCCAATTCCTTTCTTAGTCTTTAGAAAAATTAAAATCTACATGTCATCACTCAAAGTCATTCAATTACAAAATTACAATGAAATGACATAATTATTGTAAATACTATTTTTGAGTAACATCAGATCTTGTTTCAGACTCTTAAAAACTAGTTAACATGAAAATAATGCACTGAAGTTAAATGAGGGGATAGAATATTCATTAGACACTGAAATCATTTTCATTCTCTATGAAACTTACCTACATAGAACTTGTCATCCAAAACATAGGACACAAATATTACCATGTTTGTATTATATATTAATTATTGCCACTTCTGAGAAACGAACTTGATATTTGCATAATTAACACAATAACTGGCACATTTTGAATTTCTGTTACATATTCAACAGGAGCGCTCAGAAGAGGTGGGAGTCAGGCTGGGAAAACTCGTACCAATCCCCAATATTTTTTCCCCCCATTCAATGATGTATGTACTTCTAATTAAAATTAACCGCTGTCTGTTACTTCCGTTGTATGAAGAAATGAGTTCTTTTTATGCATTTGGGTGGGGGCAGAACTTGTGTTTGATATAAGGGGCTGCCCCCAGGCTCTTGATTTCACTGTGCACCCCTGATTATTTATATGAATTCTCTAGGATAAAACTAAATAAACTATATTTTAAATAAATTTTACAAAATAAACTTTATCTTTGAGATGGTCCACAATAATGTAGATTCTAGATCATTACAATTGCGTATTCTATGCCAACAGCATTTTGCTAGAGATCAATGAAAAAATGCTATTTTAAATTGGTAGTTTACAGCAAAATACTGGACAATATAATATTACTTCAACAATTATAATTAAGTATTTGTGAACATGATTTACTTTAAACCTTTACATGCAAAATACTGTCAAGTATATGTTAGTACTGAAAATGTATATTGAAATTATTTTTTAGAACAGCACCAAGTAATGGATCAATCACAATTTCTTCTATCACAAATATTATTCACGCAAATCTTGCAACATAAAAATTGCATAGGGGGGAATGAGAGCTTTCATTGACTTACAACCAGAAGAAAATATCATTTGGTGTTCTTCAATCATAAATTACCACTGGTTATAAATCTTATCTGCAGTCTTTAATCAAATAATCTCCTTCATGATGACAGCACATACAAAAAGAAAAAAAAAGAAAAGGAAACATTACAAAACGATATTTAATACACAAAAGTATGTATATATGCACAAAAGTCATGTACACATCGCTATTAACCTGAAAAGATATGACCACAGTGTAACAATGCACAACACCTTTATGGCAGAATGAAGTTTATGTATTGTAAATACAGACTACAAGAATTTTGAAAACAAAATGTTAAACTTCAAATTATTAAATGAACAAATAATTCCAACACCACTTTTAAATTTCTTTGATATGGAATTCATGGTACCGCCATAGATTGGATATCCTCGTACCTTAAACATCAATTGCAAATGGCAGAAATACTATACTGGCATGAAAGAGCGTTATTTACTCATCTATTCACGTCTTTGCAAATTGAGCATCATGTCCCACAGGGTTCCATTTAAGGCCCAATTCTTTTTCTCTTGTACATAAATGTAGAAGCAAAATAAGGAGCAACTAATTAAAATGCATATTGTCCACTGGTGGGAACAATTGAGTTTGATTTGAAATTTTGTAGTTTGTAATACATTCTACACGTTCCTGCTTTCAGATTTCTTCGAAACATTTAATTTAATGGGTTAAAATGTGTTCATATGTCCTCATATGTCCTTGTGCCTTGGGAACAGAAGAACAGTTTGATTTGCTGACGACTTGAATATTTTTGCACAAAAGAAACAATAAATAGTATGATTTCACAACTTTCAAATTGGTTTCGTAATAATAATAATAAATTAATTGTTACAAAAGGGAAAAACAATTTCAATGCATTTTTGCGTTTGACACCAGCAATTGCATGCTCCATTGCAAAAAGGAATAATATGCAATCGGCAAATTTAAAGGTAACAAAATTTGTCTCCCAATTCGGTTAAACCTCAAATGGAATATTCAAATAACTGAATTAAAAAGTACATTTAATTCTTTGTCACATGTTCAGAATTCTTTCAAGTTTTGCCAGCCTTCAAGCTGCTCATTGCATGTAATATACACAACTCCTGCAAGCCTGTCTTCATTCATCTTCGAATCTTATAATTACCTTCACTATTTATTTACAAATCTGTATTTTTGTCAAAACTGACTTACTTAACAGTGGGAACATTTTCAAGTAATACTGATAATTATAATTACAACACACCTTGTAGAAATCACATACATGGGTCATTATCAACATCTCAATTCAAGAAATTGTCATATGTACGTTACTTTACATCACATTGCCAGATGACAAAACAATTAAAACCCATACACAAGTTTAAGTACAAAGTAAAATTTTTTCTGCTTCCTTTCTGTTGCTATACAATTGGAGACTATACTGACCATCAAAAAGAAAATGGTATTTATTTTCACAATGTTATATAATGCAATAGTATTCATTTTCATTGACATAAACTTTGAAAATATTTTATGCGTCCGTAAGAGGTAATGTATTTTCACCTTTATGACAAAACCCACATCGCAATCAGGTTTTCGCCCATTTACCTGCTGCATTGAGCAAATGCTCAGATGGCTCATTGTTTTGCTCCTGGATACAAATGTAGTAACATTAGGTACTCATTATTTGAGCACTCTTTTTGCTAGTTGAAACGGGAACAAAGCGGGCTGTATGGGTTACTGCTTTGTTATCAACAGTAAAAAATCAAATCGTAGTTTACCTACCAAAATTCCTTTCCTCTACGTCGGGAGCTAAAATGTCTTGGTTTTCAAATGTCGTTAACCAAGCTTTTTTGGAACTTTTATTTATTACTCAACTACTTATTACTTGTTAAAAGGTGGTGAGGATATTCTGGAAATTGCAGTAATCGATATATATATATATCTATCTCTCTCTCTCTCTCCTCCCTCTCTCTCTCTCCTCCCTCTCCCTCTCTCTCTCTCCTCCCTCTCCCTCTCTCTCTCTCCTCCCTCTCCCCCCTCTCCCTCTCTCTCCTCCCT